TAGATAGATAGATAGATAGATAGATAGATAGATAGATAGATAGATAGAATAGTAGAATAGATAATGGTGTCGTGTTGCTCATTTGAAAAAATAATTTATTGATACAGCAGGATTGGATAAAAACTGAAACAATTTTAAACAACTTTTGTTTTTTGCCTTTTTCTGTCAGGTGTATCATCATGTCTCCATTAATTATTGACTAATTATTAGTTTTCAGGTGGAATTTTGGTAACTTTGTTAGGAATAAAAGTAAATAAACCATTTAATATGTAGAATGAAATGCATATTAAAAGTCACTCCTTCTCAAATCAAGTCATACATGTATTTATATTACATGTAATGAACATGCTATTTTCCATCTATATCGCTTAGAAGACAAAGAAGACAAGCAACTTTTACTTGTTTTTTGGGGGGGGGGTTTCACGTCTTATATGAAATTTTGTCTTCATACTGCCTGTACTTTTCTATCACTTTCTTCTATCTTTTTTGTCAGCTTCCTCTACTTTGGGCTCTTCTGTTTTTCACTGTCATGTGCTTCCATCTCCATCACCATCTCTAGACCTCTCTCACTCTCTCCTTCTGTAACTCCCTACTTCCCCTCTCTTCCTGCAGACCTACAAAAACACAGACAGAGGCCTCAGTAAGTGCTGTTTTCCTGGCCAGGCTGGAGGACCCTCCCCATAACTAAACAGGAGCCAAGCTTATTTTACCTTCACACAGCCCAGACTGGTCCAGTCTGGGCTGTGTGAAGACAGACAAACACAAAATACTTCATTTGATACATTTGGACCATCTGCTTCTGCGGGCTGTCTCCTTGAGCCAATATAGTCAACAGAGAGGGCAGATCAAGACCAACTATGTGGGTCCAAGGATTAAAATAGACAATGAATATTGGCATTATACTTTGTACAGAGTTTCTTGATGGCTAATTAGGAATTTGGCAGCCACTGAGGATTTTCTGTTTTCCTTTAGCTTCAGCATGGCATCACTTTTGTGGAAATGTTTGAAAAATTAATTGGCTTTTTGCAGTGTGTTATTTATTCATTTTTTTAATGCCACATATATCTATGTCTCACTCATTAGAAACTGTAATAATTTATTGCATTCATTTTCTGTCTTGACATCAGATCAAGCTGGCAAAACTAGATAACACTAGTTCTAGTTTTCTAGAAAATAACTGAAAGCTCTATTTGTAGATGTGTACAAGTTTACAGGAAAACAATGCTTAATTTTCTATTGTATAAAAGGGAGAAACTAAGAAACTGCCAGATAATTTGGAGATATTCATATCTAATAAATACAGGAAAACACTGTCTTTGTTTTGTCTGCTGCCAAGGATAAAATCCAGAAAAACTATTAGCTACAAAAAGATATTTGGAGAGAGATAATAATATGAAATAGAGTAGATCCTAAATTTTTCAGGGATATCAAAAGTCAACAAGCACACCAGCCAATGATGTTCAATACACTCTTCTATAATTAACTCACATTAAATCAATAAAAAAGAAACTCAGATGTTCTAAAGTAATGGCAACAAACTACAGTAAGAAACCGAATCTTCATTACGTATACATCAAAGCAGTCTGGCTTTTCTCCTCTGACCTCTGGCATCAACAAGACCTGGATATTTTGTGTTTATCAGACCTTTCTCTGTAAATCCCTCAAGTTGGTTGTGCTGGAAAATCCCAGTAGATCAGCAGTTTCTGAAATGCTCAGACCAGTCCGTCTGGCACCGGCAACCATCCCACGTTAAACCTCACTTAAATCCCTTTTCCCCCCATTCTGATGCTTACTTTGAACCTCAGCAGGTCATGCATAAATGCACTGAGCTGCTGTGAGATGACTGGGTGATTAGATACTGTGGTTAACAAGTTAAACACATGTACCTAACAAAGGGGCTGATAAATGTGTAATAAGATATGCAGAACCGCTTAACTTATTACATTTAACCAAGGTTTACCAGCTTCAACATAATACCAATCTCTGGGTTTTATTCTTTTTGTATTTTTTATTTTTTTTTTTGTGTTTGTTTCTTATGTTCATTAACTAAAACATTATAAAAATCTTTATTTTGTTTGTTTTATTTTTTCCCAGGAAGTGCCTTGGTGGATCAGAAATTTCAGGTGGGGGGTTTCCTTGTTGCTTTGAAATACTATTTTCAAGAAAGCCGTGAATCCCTCTGAGACTTTAACTGCAAACATATTTCATCAAGTTGAATTTGACATTGAAAGACTTGTTCTTTGTGTTCTAGCCCTGTACTCTTGTTTCTCTTTGTTTCAAAATTGTCTGAAAAGCTTTTCTTTTTTTTCCTTTTTTTTATATTGCTCTCGTTCCAGCAAAGCCTAGCTTGAGCTATGCCTGGGGATCAACAGCCTATAACCATGGCCTCAAGATAAAAATGATTCTCTGACGAGGAGGTATCTAAAGCACTTTTAAACATCTGTCAGCAAAAAATAAGAAATAACAGTTCTTCTAAGGTTAAATGTTCAACTCCACATGGATACAAACTGGTTTAAAATTCTGATCTAAAATTTTTGGATATTGTGAAAATATTTGTTTTAAATGCACACTCCCAGAAATAACTGTCTGTAAACACAGTTCACTGTGCCATCCTCAAATCTAAAAAGAAGCCATATGTGAACATGACCCAGGAAGTCTGCCATCTTCTCTTGGCCAAAGATTATTGGACTGAGACAATGTGGAAAACTGTTCTGTGGGCAGTCAAATCAAAATTTGAAATTCTTTCTGGATGTTGCTTTTCCTAAAAAAGAGAGGGATCCTCTGCCTTGTTCAACGGACCGAATTCAAAGGCCTACATCTCAGATGGTATGAGGGTGCATTAGTCCCTATAGAAATGGATCATTAATGATCAAAAGTATATACAGGATCAAAGCAGCATATGCTCATAAGCAGATTATGTCCTTTTTCAGAGAAGGCCTTTCATATTTCAGATAAAAAATGCTACACCTGGTTTAGTAGCAGAGAAGTCTGGATGCTGAACTGGTCTGCATATAGATCACAAATTTCACCAACTGGATAAAATATGAGTTTGGAAAATCTGCACATCATTTTACACTGAGTCCCAACTTTTTGCACCTTTTTGGGTCGTACATACTCTGAAAAGTCACTACTCAGGTTTAGAAGTCAGCATCACATCACCCCATTCCTGACCTCTTTCCACCAGCTCCATGTCTTTGATTTTGAGATTCTGCTAATAACCTTCAAGGAATGCTTGGATCTGGCTTCAAGGTAAATAGCAAAAACTGTTGACCACCACCCTTAAATCCTCAGGCTTGACTCCAGAGGATTTAAGGCTCTCAGAATCAGTGAATTCCTTTCAAAATCACTTCTGAAATCATTTTTTTTTATGTGATGCAGAGCATTTATTGCTTTTGTCCTCTTGTTTATTCTTACTGTACTGTTATTATCGCTTCTATTCTTTTCAGTATTTCTTATTTACCAATTTGTGCTTTGTTTTGTACAACGCTGTCTCAACTTTCCCTTATCTTGTGTTCTTTGGCTTTAATATTTGGCTTTTTGTTTGAATTTACCTTCTGATTGTTCTCCTTCGTACTTATCTGCCAAAGTGCATTGCAAACTATGTTTTGAAAGGTGTATGTATAGATTTGTACACAACTCTTTATTTTTTAACTTCCCCTAAAATATTGAGTGCAGACTGTCTTTCAATCACGCATATTTTTGTCTCTCAAATATAAGCTCTACAGTGAAGAACTGCCAAAGACTCATGAGAATAAGAAAGTATGCAAGTTATTGTGGGGCTCTTCTTTGTACAGAGCACCAGATGCCGGCAGGAAGGATGTGTGCGCTCTGGCCAAATCAAATACCCGAGAAACACTTCAAACACGTGCCATGCACTGCTTCAGGAAATACTGCAGGGACGAGAAATATGAAAAATAGAAAGTGATACATTTGTCATTTGACAATGGAATACCAGCAGAGCAGATTCATTCTTAAACTTCAGCAAGATGATAAATTTCAATCTCTGTGAGTGAAGAAGGCTTTGCAACAGTCATATCTCTACCTCAAGGTGAAAGAATACTCAGTGACTGCTTCATAGTTAACACTTTTCATCTGAACAAAATTGCTTATTTCATCATGTAATTTTTCCTTTTATCTTTTCAGCAACTGTTTTTATGCCCGCCTTCATCACAAGAACCATGAATATGTCTTCATTTCGCTCCTTCTTGACTCATAATAACAAAAAAGTCACGCTGTTTTAAGCTGTTTATTATTTATGATTTCAGCTTACGGGTTTTTTATGGCTCAAGTTCAATTACTGGCTGTTATCTCGACTTTGTACTCAAAAAAAAACAATGTCATAAAGACAGAATTTAAATTGGAAATTGTTTAAATTGCTTACGTGTAATAAAATAACAGTACAAATGCAACAGATGTTTAAACTGAATGATTTGAATATTTGTATTAAAAAATGTCAACCTCACTTTGAAGCTGATACCAGCAACGTGTTTCCTGGGAGATGGGCACGTTTACCAGTGTTTTACATCATCTGTTCTTTTAATAAGACGAGGTTGTGGTGTAGTGTAAGCAAGTGTTTTCCCATTTTTGTTCTATATAGGACTACTCTTCTTTTCAAAAAGCAGCAAATTTTCTCAATGTGCCCTGAACCTAGCCCTCAATGCTACTGTAGATCGACTGTAATTTTGCACAGTGTTTCTGAAATAAATAAGGCTGTCATTGAAAAAAAATTCCATCTGCATATCATGTTATGTTATGTTGCTTCTGAGCCTGCCTTATTTGGCAATAATCAGGCCTCCACATGCCAGATGCATGGGGTGAACTTACAGCAATTAAATAAATAATAGGACAATTTCTCAGTCCTTCACATATATATCGCAGGCCCACAGCAGCTTTCAGAAACATTTCTGAGCTGATATATTGATTGTGCCTGTTTATGAGTGTAAGGTGATTCAGTATTTCTTTAGGGCCTTGTCCTTTGCATGCACTTTTGTTCTGATACTTTTGATCTGTCAATGATATCATCTACTACAGGTGATGAAAACCGTTTTCAGCTTGTCCATGTCTTTCACAGAGTGTAAACTGCGTCCGTGTTTACTTCTGACGGACTCTCTAGAACAGGACTGGACTGGGACAAAAAAATTGGCCCAGGTATTTGAAGTAGAGACCGGCCCACCAGGTATTACAGGAAAAACCATAAAGCCTTTGAATGAAAACAAACGCTGTTCTGATGTACACTGTCTTGTTGGTATATATGTATGATTTCTATACAGTTTGCATCAGATGACCACTTAAGGACATCTCATGGTTTCATCTTCACGTTTCCCCCTCACCAGATATCCAAAACGATAACATGACCAGCAGCTTTACGGCTGTGGCTCCAGCAAACATCAGCTGATACTACAAAAGTAATATCAAATTCATTCTAACAACAGCTTATCAAGCTTAAACTTGCTGCTGTTGTTTAGCGCGACATCCGCTGGTTTCCTCTTTCTGGGCGATAAACAAACAAGAGAGACGGGGCGAGACAGAAAACCCGATCAGCTGATCATTGATCAGTTGATTGAAGTAGCAACAGGGGAGAGAAGAAGAGGCAGCTGTGCAGCGTAAAGACGCAGAATAAGTCCAGCTTTGTGTCTTTTTTCATTCTAGCTGAAGTAGGGGACAAATCGTTTCCTTTTCACCTACGAGAGTTTTGTAAGCCCAGAGTCGATCATGACCAATTGGCCAATCCACCACCGGGCAGGTGGCCAGTCCAGCTCTGCTCTAGAAGGTTCTTTTTTAAATGCCCACAAAGAAGGTGGTACTGACTTTTCATTTCTTTCTTTCTTTATTCATTAATTTACCTCTGTCTCAAATGTCTTGCTTGCGTCAAATTTAAAATGACCTATATTCTCCCCTCAAAAACCGATAACAGAATCAATAACATTTCTTACTCGCAGCGTTTCCTATGCGTTCTTTCTATTAATTGTAACCAAATGTAGGTTTTAAAGTGGCTGCATTCTGCTTTACCTTTTGCACAGCATCTCAACTTTTTTGAATGTAGGATTGATCGAAGCTGCGTTGCCAGTTGGGCAAGTGAAGAAGCAGTCGACTTTTTACTTTATCAGGAAAAACAAAAAGAGAATACCCATGAATCTTTTACCCAGGCCCTCTAACAAGGAGTAACCCTCATCAGAGAAAACTTACCAGAAATGTGAGGCCTGGTTACATGTGTTTATTTCAATCGATTATTTTGGCAACTTGAAAAAAACTATATATGCCATTTCTAGCTGTTTTATTCAGTAACTTTCACTTTAAATGTTTACCCTTTTTTTAAGTGGTAATCAGTCTAACATTGTATTCATTCAACTGAGAAGGAAAAGTAGGCTATTCGCCAGATCACAGTGGCGGCTCGTGGAACTGCATGATATGGAAAAAGGGGGAGGGAGGAAGTTCTCCAAAACTTTTTTCTCCTCAAAGGATTCTGGAAAAGCTCCGTTACATTTTCAGGGGAAGGGGATACGAGGAGAAGAAAAACAACGCTGGGAAAACAAAGACAGATAACGGTGTGAAAAAGTTAATGACTTCTTCTGTTTTTGTCTCCTTATATGAAAGCCGTGGAAAAAGGACGCGCGTGTTTTTGCTTTTGTTCCGAGCATTTTGTTCCTTCCCAGACTGTGAGGACTTACACCATCAGAGGCGATGAGATGTGAGTGAGCTATGCCTTGTGGAAATGGACAGACTTTATCCAAGCGAAAACATGGCGTCTGCCTCCCGAGGTTTAGTTTCTTTTCCAGTCTGCTTGTGGCGCTCTGCTGCTTGGAAGTATGGGGCTCTGCGGCGCAGGCGGACGGCGGCAAGAGTTGCAGTCCCTGTCCCGTTAACTGCAGCTGTCCACTGGGGCCCCAGCAGTCCTGCGTCGTCAACTGCTCCAACATCGGGTTGGAAAGGGCCCCTGCGGCGGAAGAGATCCCGCTGGCCACCAATGTGTTGTAAGTAAAGAAACCAAAACAAGCTGCACAGGATATGAATGCACAGTGGAGAGTTTTTCACCCAGTTTGACCAAACTTATCACCCCGGAAAACAAGCGTAACACACGTAAAAGTTTAATTCATCTGGGGTTCTTGTCTATCAGCCCGCTTGTTACATCCCCATATGCGTGTACCCCATTATTCCTAACAGCTAATATGACGTTTGATTTATTGTTTATGCTGCTGTTCTGTGGTAATTAAAGGGGTCAAATGTTTAATCAATTAGATCAGCTGATTGGAAAATAGTCAGACTTAATCGTTGTGAATCAAACGAGCAAAAAAACTTTTAAAATGTGAGCGTTTGTGTCTCTTCTGCTTATTAAACTCAGTGGAAATGTGTCATTCCTTTGTTTTGGGCTGTTGGTGGAAAAAATCCTGTTAACTAACTACTTTTGGCTTTAAGTTTCTGTTGTTTGTTTGTTTTCCCCCTTGGTACGTCATGAAAATATTTATGGTATTAGCATTTGTAATTATCCAAGTAATCGATACAGTAATTAGCAGATTAAACATGAATAAATTGTGGCGTCCTGAACGTATAAGTGCGCTGACAGATGTGGAGATTTGATTAAGTTGGCTTTGATGGTCTTCAGGGTGCACCAGTGTAGTAAAAACACAAACAAAGCCAAAACTGATTGAAAAATAAATGCTATGTGGAGGCAATCAGACAATAATGAGAATAATAATAATAATGAATACAATTTTTGTTTACTTTTTATGTCAAAAGAAGGACTGACTGCTGGTGACTGTGCGTGCGTGCTTTTGCGTGCGTGCATCTTCCCCCCCCCCGTTTGTTGGTATTAATAAGTTGGTGACCAGAAACCAAAGGTGGAGCAGATCAGACTTGAGCCTCTGGTGTAGCTGCAGCAGAACATTCTGTTCTGTGCGATGGAAGCCATATGTTATTCATTATTTATTTTTACTGAAACTACCTTTCTTTACAGTATTTAACTTAAGACTTTACTATAAATACCAGGCACATAATCAGTGCACTCTGTATTGGCCAGGTCTTGCTTTAGGACACAAAATGAGCGCTATAATTTTGTTTACACCGAGTTTTATAAGTAAATAAAACTCTGGAGGTACACTGGTTGTATTTGTTGTATAGAGGGCTTCTACTTTCAGTTGGATCCCCTATTATCACCTGACCTTTAGTGGTAATGTTTGCATAAAAGAAGAAAAGTGGCTTGTTTAGAGACAGATAAATTAGAGACAGACTCTGCTGCACTGTCTGTCTGTGATTTATCTGAATGTTAATGTCTCATGTTGGAATTTGTTGGAGCGTTAATTGCATCAAAGTAGATAAACCTCCTTAACCCTACTGTACCAGCGGAAGCCATACGTAAAGGCGGCTGGCTGTGAACTTAACTGTCCTTACTAATTTAGCTTGTGTCCTACTCAATAGGCAGACACATGTGGTTGATAGCAAATATTTTACTCAAAGTTAAATCTGATTTCACAGAAGGCTGAGACATTCAGCTGGAGAACTTGGTAGTGTTCATTTAATAATGCTGCAGGCTGAACTTGAAAGAATAATAAAGGTCATTTACTTGCAGCGATTTCTGAATAATGGCCTTTGGTCTGTCTGAGGCAGAGAGATGACAGTTCAGGTCTGGATTGTTAGCTCTCTTAAAATCATCTTTGTCCTTTTAATATCTTTTAGTAGATGCAGAGAAGAGTCCATAAGGCTACTGTGAATCTCTACAGCATGCAGAGCAGGTCTTACAGGTCTTTTTTTATATTAGAAATAGCTTTTCTATTTAAGAGACTATTACCAGACTTAAAAATGTAGCCTTGGAGCAAATAACCACCACAAAAATGAATAGGCAGTGAATGATTTGTCTGTCTTAAAGCGGTGTCAGGCTAGTTTATTGTCACTGTTGTATGTGAATTTGATACCTTGGAGGAGCCGACTACAGATTTGAGCTTGAATAAATGTGAACTCAGCGCTCACAGTAAATGACTGTCCTTTAGTCATCCACAAGGAGCGATGCTGTAAATGATTAGTAGATAACGGAGCAAGCGTGTTTTTATTTATTTATTTATTTTACTCTTTAGTAATATTGTCCTTAGTCCTCTTTGCATAACTGTGCATCCACTTTTCTATCGGTGCACATTTATTAGCATTATTTAGCTGTGGGAAAACTGGACAGGATCCAGTGTAATGCTGTAGTGTCTCACCATGAAATTTAATTTAACTGTGGCTGGCTTTAGAGAGCATTCATAACTTCTCTGCTTTGTGAGAGAGAGATGCAGGAAAAGTCTCTGTGATCAAGCTATAG